ACATCCATGCACTTAATGGCGCCAGCATTAATGGGTGGCCCTAGACAATGACACGTGGTAGCAAATCGCTGAAAGTGACGTGGCGACTATGACATGGTCCGAGAGATTCGAGATTCTTTTTCCCCAGGAATTTCGTACGGGCTTTTTAGGAATAAGGATAAGTGGCGAATATTCTGTCCCTTTTGTTCTTGTTATTTTGGCGATGGCGAGGAGGGTTCGTGTCGAGGAGGGGGAGAATGGCGCTGCCGCTGACGGCGGCGAGGTTGAGGCGCCGCGCCTCCGTGCGAATCCCACGCTTACCACGGAGGCCCAGGAGCCATTCATGGGTGTCAAGGTCCGGCGCCGATCTTCCATGTATCGCCAGTTCCAGGGGGATTACATCAACGTCGCGGGGAATCAGCACATTCTCAAGCTCCTCACCAAGCAAGGTATGAATTCTCGCTCGGATTTGTCCCGTGGAGTTGGATTTCTAGTTTTTCTTCGTGCTCTTACTTTCTTGGATCCAATTTGAGTTCCTGGAGGGTGTGATGATTTCGATTTTGATAGAAGCTCTTTCTTGCGTGCTCTTGTTTTTATCTTGTTTGGAAAGCGTGAAAGGCTTGTTTTTGTCGTTGTTCTTGCGTGCTTTCGTCTCAGATTCCACTTTTTTTTCCTCTCTCTTTTGCATCCATTTTCCTGGATGGTGCGATGCTCGATTTTGCTAGAAAACGTGAAAAGTTGTTTTTTTTTCCTTCCTCTTTTCTTTTCTCTTTTTTCTTTTCCTTCTTTGGATCCATTTTTGAGTTCCTGGACCTTTTTTTTTTCTCCTTTTTCTCCTCTCCTTTGCGATCCATATATGCTGTCTTGATTTTCCTCCAGGTGATAGACAAGTATTGTTTGCGGATAACGTGATCAAAGTGAACCGCCGATCCAAAGTTCGCAAGCGCGTCCTTCTCATCACAGATGTGGCTCTCTACAGCCTTGACGCGGATTGGTTCACACTCAAGCGCCGAATCTCCCTCTCAGCCATCGAGAAAGTCCTCCTCAGCGAGCTCAACGACAATTTCTTCGCCTTGTCCGTGTCAACCGAGTACGATTGCCTCTTCGCCAGCACGCACAAGACCGAGATCGTTACCATCCTCCAGGAGGCCACGAGAAAGCTCGACACACCGCTCGAAGTTTGCTTCTCGAATCGGTCAGTAGTTTCATTCGCTTTCCATCGTTCTATGCATTGAGTAGAGAGCTTTGGCAGCTTCGAGTACTACATGGACTCGGAAAATATCCGCGAAGTTATCTTCGAAGAAGTCCCAGGTATGGATTGACAAGGTCGGTCTGTGGGATTGTTCTCACGGCGAGAATTTTTAGGTGGCGTGAAAACTACGTTCGTCAACAAGTGAGATCACATTCTTTTTGGGACTTCCCTCGAAAACAAAAGCACGAAGATAAAGGAAGGAACGCACACAAGGCACAAATGCTTTGCAACTGTTGTGTATTTTGATGATTTTGTTGCAGGCTGCCAAGATCGCACTACTACCATTACAGAAGCTCCGTGCTATGATGAGGGAAGAGTTTGATACTTTTCATTATCTCTCTGGATTGATTTTGATTCAATTAAGGATTAACAAATAGTTAGATGATTGAATATTGCCAACTTACCTTCTCAAGCATCCCAATTCACCTTAATTTGTGCATGACTGGCGCGGAACTGAGGCTCCAGGAGGATGTTTTTGACAAGCTAGGCCATCTTCGCAACTCTTAAGTTCTTTTCAGTATATATACCCATTTACTAGAGGCAACGTTGATATGTGCATAGCATTGAAGTAAATCTAAAATATGCTCAAACCTCACTTTTAGTTCACTACACTAATTTCAATCCTCCACTAGCTTCTTCTTTCTCTTCTAGTCATTTGATTCCAAGAGAATTTTCATCCATTACCTTGCACTCCTTCCAGTGTCGTGCCCTCTTGGGGATCTGATCCAGCACCTCCTCTTCATCCACATTAGAGTTCTCCATCAAAATGGTTTTTGCCACAACACTGGGAAGCCATCGCTCATCGCAACAAAGAGTAGCCTCTCCTCGAGCTTGTAGCTCCCTTCAATATCTGACCTCAAGCCCTTACAACAGGGCCTTTCTTGTTCTCTAGTGAGTCGTTTCATCTCCCTCTTGAGCACTTCTCCACTCTGACCACTATTTACTTTTCTAGCATAGATCTGTAGTGCACGAATAATCAGCGGTCTATTCCTATAGTTGTCTTTGGCATTGTCGCTAAAAGGTGGCGAGAAGTTAAAAGAAAATTAAAAGATTAGCATAAGGCATTGACTTTTACAATGCTTTGATAAGTAGTCAAAAGGCAGTTTCTCTCGCTAACACATTTTAATGGATTGGGTGTGTTCTTGGCGCTGATTTATATTGTTCTATACATGGGTTCTCACTCTTAGATTTTTATATTAATTTTAAGTTTAATTGCCAAGAGAGCAGCGAAGTTTTGAAAACTATATAATATGTCAAAGGAAAAGTTTGGGATGGAAGGAGGGCTGGAAGGGAACAAAAGCCGGCATTTGTTTCTTTGAACTTCTACTGCTACGCAACGTTCCAGAAGCCAAATCAAAGATGCAGCTCCACCTATAATGAAAGAGCAGTGTCACCTCCGTAGTGTGTTCATTTCCAGCAGCCACCATAAAGATTCTTCCGGGTTTTTTGATCAACTTGGGAATTTTAACAGTGCCCAAGCTCAAGGATGCCATTGCCCGCCAGCTGCAACTCTCCTCGTCCAGATACACAAAACAAACCCTGAGGGTTCTAACGTCTGTGTTTCTGTCATGTGTTTCGAGCATGCCAATCACTATCTTCCCTGCAAAATCAAAGTCGTCAGCATATACAAAACAACTCTCTTTCCTTACCTCCACTTGAGACGAGGGACATGTCCACCTCGTACCAAGGTTGCCGTTCAAATCCCAAGGGAAGATTATTCCAGGTTGCCAGAGTTCGAAGGGTGGCCTTAGGGTTCCACACGTTGAACGATTTAAGCCTCCTCACATTGCCCGGTGAAACAGTTAAAAAGTACAAGTGATCGTTCTGGAGCAGCATGCAGTTGTTGGAATAGTTGATGCAATTCATTCTGACACCGCATACGAGGTCTTCATCCTCCTGGACAGGGGTGAATTCCGTAGAAGATATCCACGCCGCGGCCCTCGAATCGTACAGGTGGAACACCATGACCCCATAGCTGGTCTCTATGGTCACGACTACAACAAACCATGATCCAGAGGGTGGTGCCGACTGAATAGCAGCGAAGATCATTTCGTGATCACCCTCCAGCATCGGACACCCCAGTTCTCGCCTCGTCTGTTGTAGCGGATTCAGCACCACAAAATATCTCGCAAACGTCGAGTCATAGCTCAGTACCAAGCCTGCCGAGCAAGTGCTCAAGGCAAAGATCCGGGCTTCCCTTGGAAGGGGGAGAGTGAACTCCTTCCAGGAGATGGCGTTGGGTGAGATGAGAAACTTGCCACAGACGTCGCCAAGGGCAATGTACCACTGCTGCCGCGGTGGCTGCTGCTGGATTGCTGCGCACCAATCCTTGGAGAGGGAGCGGAAGCGGCAGAGCGTGGGGAATGGGAGGAAAGTGATGAGGCGGTGTTGGATGTCCTGGGGAAGCCGCGACCAGATTGAGGGATCCAATTTCCTGCTTTTCTTCTTGTCTAGCATGCCATCCCAGTTCCTATACGCCATACCTTAAATTAACCTAAACTTTGTTAAAAGTTCATACTATACGATGCTTCATGATCTCTAAACAATTCTAGAATTTTGCTTGGAATCCTTATAATTTCTAGAAGAAGATAACAAACATACCCACTCCACAACCCCTAGAACATATGGCATTGGATTTACAAACTTATGCAGATAGCAAGCAAATCAATTATACATCTGAAGTGCTGGAGTGGAGAAGGAAACTTAATGCTTGGGAAGACAATCTCTGTGTCAATGAGTTTGGACTACCAAATTAAAGTCACACAACAAGCAGCCAATACAGGGAGGAAGCATACTACTTTCTCTTTAATAACCACTTTGCTTTTCTTTGAGAGATTGGTTGAGGATCGTCAAGCAAGGTACCTATACGTATTTGTGGCAACCAGCCCTTCTTTGTTCGAGAAGACAGAGAGCGCTTCCTTAGGGAGATACAAAGCGTTACTATCTACAAACATCTCATTTCATGACTTACGAACGAAGATACATGGATTTTATTCAGGTGTGGTGCTTTAGACGCCGAGTTGCGTCGAGTATACACTCACACGGTGTCAGCAAGAGTGAAGATTGGTAGAGAGATTTCATGATCCCCAGAAGGGAAAAGCTTGGGACCATCCCAAAGACCAACATCAGGAGATGTCCTTAAGTGAAACAGTAAAGATGATATAATTCTTTGGTAGTTTTTGCGACTGATTCATTTTTCTTTTCCCTTGCAGTGTTTGTTGAGAAGAGTTCATACAAGGTAAACTAGTTTCAAAGTTTTGCGAGTAATTCATTTTTTTTTTTCCCTTGAACTTTCATCAGTGCTTGCCAAATTTTGAGAAGAGCAGCAAAGATCTCTAAGTTTCGTTTCGATGATATACCTCATAGAAGGTAAACTAGTTTCAAGTTTTCGCGAATGTTTCCTAGCTTGCAAAAGATTTTAAGAAGAACAGCGAAGATCTCTAAGTTTGCAAGGTAAACTAGTTCAAAATTTCGCGAATGATTCATTTCTTTTACCCATTAACTTTCAATGCTTACAAACGATTTTAAGAAGGAAGCTAAGATCTCTCAGTTTCGTTTCGATCCAAGGTAAACTGGTTCAAATTTTTCGCGAATGGTTCTTTTGCTTTTCCATGAACTTTCAGTGCTTGCAAAAGATTTAGACTGTAACTTTCGTTTCGAGTTTTTCTTGAGTCGAAACGAATGACAAGTCTTTAGTGCGTTTCGATCGACGGTGGCGATTGGACGCCCTCGGACGGTGGAGATGCTTCCAATATCAAAGCCACTTAGTTTTTTTCCCAGGGCTTTTGCGGGGAAGTGAAAGAGCGGCGGTCCTTCCGCGCCGAAGTCCAAGAAAGCAAAAGGACGCGGATCCGGTGAGCTATAGCTCAGATCTTTGCGGCAACAGGCTTTAGGGTTTGGATTTGTAGCTAGGTTGTGGATTCCGCGGCAAATGCACCGGCGTTTGGCGCTGAAGTGAGTCTAGATCTTCCAATCCTCGTCCCCAGGCATGGCGTCCCGCTACGATTCGAATCCATTCGATGAGGAAGACGTCAATCCCTTCTCGGTGAGAAATTCTAGGAAGAAGCAGATGGTCTGGAATTGATAGGTTTTCTTTCTTTCTTTTTTTCCTACTCCAGGATCCGGCTGTGCGTGCTCAAATGACTGGGAAGCCATCCTATCTCGGCAACAATTTCTATGAATCGGTATCGCTAGAATTGTCTCCTTTCTCTCTTTTTTTTTTCCCTCGGGGATGCGAGCTAAAAGATAAAACTTTTTTGTTCTTCCAGAAACCATACAATGTTCCTCAGGTGAATTCGATATCTCCGCTAGCACCGGAGCGTACCTCGGTGGGCGATGCTACCGTGGAAATTCCCTTGGGCAACATGAAGGTGAGCGAGACGAAAGCTACGCGAATGGTCTTAACTCTTTCTCTCTCTCTCTCTCTAGGATCTCAAGAAGCGCGAGAAGGAACTGAAAGACAAGGAGGAACAACTTCGAAAGCGAGAAGCCGACGTGAAAAGGCGAGAGGATGCTGCTGCAAGAGGTTCTTTAGTGCTTTGTGTTCTTCGTTTTCTCCTCTTTGCTAACACTTCGGCTTTAACCAGCTGGTATTGTGTTGGAGGAGAAGAACTGGCCACGCTTTTTCCCGATCCTACACCATGACATTGCGGCTGATATCCCGGCCTACTTGCAGCGCATGCAGTACTTTGCTTACGGAAGCTGGCTCGGAATTCTCCTGTGCCTGACATGGAACTTCATTTCCGTCACCGGAGCCTGGATCCAGAAGACTGTCAGTGCCTCGTATGGTAATGGTTTTCTAAGCTTTTGGAAGCTTTGTGCTTACGAGCGTTCGTGTTTACAGGTGTGCAGATATGGTTTCTGGCCATCATCTACATCCTGGCAGGCTTTCCCGGATCATATTTCCTCTGGTACAGACCCCTGTATCGGGCTATGAGGTGCGTTGGAGGCAATTGTCGTTTGCTAGCCACGAGGGAAATCACACGTTCCTTGCAGGTCAGAGAGTGCTCTTAAGTTCGGATGGTTCTTCATCGCGTATTTGGTACGTTGTTAGTGGCTTGATACGTTTTGTTAGCTTAGTAATGTTGGTGTGCGTGCAGTTTCACATATTGTTTTGCATCTTCTGCGCCGTCGCTCCTCCCATTGTGTTCAAAGGAAGATCATTGACGTAAGCGGCGATGTGCTATCTACTGCTATACTAATTTCATATTCTATGCAGGGGCATTCTACCAGCGATTCAGATCTTCTCTGACAGTGTCATAATCGGGGTATGTTTAGTGTTATAATATGTTCTGTTATTGAGTCTTGGTTGAACAGATATTCTATCTCGTTGGCTTTGGCCTTTTTGTCCTGGAATCTCTCCTCAGCCTATGGGTTCTCCGGGTAATACACTGCAATCTCAATCTACGTAAGAATCCTACTAATGACTATGGCTTGGCAGGAGGTGTATGCGTACTTCCGGGGTACAGGCAAAGCGGCACAACTGAAGAGGGAGGCAGCACGCAACGTTGTAGGTGCTACAATTTAGAAGGGAAGGAAACTTTGGTGTAGTATGTATATGGGATCACATTTTTTGCCTGCACGCACCGATTCTGACCCTGTGGCTAAAGATGTAGTGGTTTTTTTCTTTTTCTTTTTTTTTTTGTTGTGCTTTCTTTTTTGTTCAGGCGTTTTATAAATATAATAACCTTCCTTTGCTATACTACAGTGCTCTTCCGCCTTGACTCCACCAGAACATCCTTGTAAGGTAGCCTCTGTCATTTTGGTCATGTCGTGAAACTTACGTCCTTGTTTCTTTTTTGCCACAGTTTACGAGTAGACTTTAGAGCGAGTATCCACATGGTGGCATATACGATTGTCCGGCAGTGAAGCTGGCCAAACAGGAGCCGCAAGAATGAGGGTGCGGACAGGATACGTTGGGGTCGTCAACTATTCGTTTTAGACAATTACGTAGTCCGGTGGCAGCATGGTTGTGGACAAAAGACCAGGGCCCAGAGTAGAAGCTCCGCGCTGCTATATAGATGGTGGTCAAGCTTCCCAAGCATTCGAAGATGGCTCCTACTCAAGGCGGTACTCAAGGCGGTGTTGACTACAAGCTCACTACGTTTTTGCAAGGCTCTTTAACTCTGGATGACTACGTCTGGTCTCAAGAGGAGTGGCCAAAGGTTGCTTACAACGATTACAACGACGAGGACACCGTCCCCATCATCGATATCTCGTTGCTGAGGTCCGAGGATGCCGCAACCAGGTCAAAGGGGCTCAAGGATCTCATGGAAGCCGCCAGAGAGTGGGGATTCTTCCGGCTTGTTAACCACGGGGTTCTAAGCGATGTTACTGAAAAGCTGGAGTCGGAGGGGAAGGAGCTCTTTGCTCTGCCGCTGGAGCAAAAGAAGAAGGCAGTGCGGCTTCCAGATAGCATAATTGGTTACTACTTTGGAGCCGAGTCCGTCTTCTCCAAAGCATGGCTGGAAGCGTTTCATTTCTCGGGTGACAAGGAGGTCACAGACAACATGATCCGGCAAGTTTCTCCCGAAAACTTTAATGAGCTAAGGTTAGCTTGTTTTTCATCTCGTTGTGCCTGTCTCACTTTTCTTTCCCAGTGCGAGCGTTCATAACTACATCGATGCCTACCAAAAGCTCGCGATCGAGGTCGTCGAGCTCATGGCCATTGCGCTTGGACTGGAGCCTTCGACGTTTAGCAAGTACACTGCTACAAAAGGCGACAAGTCTACAGTTCGCGTTTGCTACTATCCGCCCTGTCCTCAGCCGCAGCAGACCCTGGGACAGCGTCCACACGCCGACCCGATCCTCATCACCATCGTTCACCAAGACGACGTTGGCGGCCTCCAGATTCTCAAGAACAACCGATGGATCGCGGTCAAGCCCGAGCCTGGCACCGTGGTTGTCAACGTTGGAGACACTCTCCAGGTAAGAAAGCCTTTCTTCTTCGTTGTATAGTTTCTCTCCTCTGATGCTCGGATTTACTCACAGGTGCTGAGCAATGACATCTATCCCAGCGTCCAGCACCAGGTTGTGCTCAACAGCGAGCGGAGCCGACTGTCCATGGCTTTCTTCCTCATCCCCGAGGCCGACGCTCTCATCGTCCCGGCAAAAGGGCTCGTGGACGACGAACATCCGGTGAGGCACCCACCTTTCATCTACAGGGACTATCGCAAATCTTATGGAGAGCGAAGAGCAGTCGGCAAGAGCCACCTTGAATCGTTTTACACGCTCAAAGACGCATAGGACGACTTATAGATAATTGTTCTACTTTGTTTTCTCATATACTCTTTTGCTAATAGAAAAGAATAAGAAGTTTTTGTGTTTAGTAATTTAAGATGTCTCCAGATTACACATAATCGCTTATTTTCTTCTCTTAAAAGGGAAGAAATTTGTCCAAAGAAAAAAAATGATGCCAGAGTCACTGCCTTTTCTAAGAATCGCGGAATTTTTTTTTTGAAAGAGTTAAAACTTAAGCCTTTTTTTTTATAATAACGGAACCTTTTCCCCGGATCTTATAAATAAGTAGACCGATCTAAGGAAAAACCTAAACACCAAGTGATGGCTTTGTCCACAATGAAGGGAGCTGCGAGTAGACTGTTTGCAGGGGCCACCAAGCTTTTCAGTGTGGAGATTGAGAGTCCAAAGTTGCGGATTCCACTGGGAACAAAGGTCGCAAACACAGTCTTGTGTGTGTCTGTGTACATGATTAGCAGTAGATTGCCACTCTATGGGATCTACGCAAATGGGACACTGATGGATTTGGGTATTGGTCCGATTGCAACGGCAAGTATGGCAATCCAGCTTTTAGTTGGTGGAAAGATTATTTGCATCAAAGAGAAGGACTCCATCAACAAGCTACAAAAGATGGCGGGGGTGTGTTTCACAGTCGTGTTGGCGATCTTAAACATTGTTGGGGGAGTGTATGGCCCAATTGGTATGATTAGCTCGCTGTTGGTGATCTTGCAGCTGGTTCTAGCAGTTATGATGCTAATCTACATGGACGAATTTTTAGAAAAGGGATATGGTGTTGGGCAATCAGCAATTTCCGTTTTCACTGCGTGCAGCGTTTGTGAGGACGTGATTTGGCACGCGTTTAGCCCTGTCACCGCCAACTTTCGAGGAGTCGACGAATTTGAAGGATCGGTTGTAGAGTTGGTTCGGGGGTTGATATCCAGCTGCAACGTAAGGACAGTTCGCCATTCATTCTTCAGATATTATCTCCCAAATCTCTCGACACTGATCTTGACAATTGTTGTGATTTGTGGGATATTATATCTTCAGTCTCTCAACATGATCATCAGAGTGACAAACGGAAGGGGCCAGTATATGAATCATTCAATCCGTCTGTTCTACACGGCAACGACTCCAATTATGTTCTTAACTCAGCTCGCAAGTAGCGTGGGCAAGGTTTACGAAGGCCTGGGGCACGTATTTGGTTACAGGAATTTTATTATGGGCGCTTTGGGAGGAACTATATACAAGGTTTTTCATCCACCGTCGAGCATGATCCAAGAGCCATTCCATTTTCTCATTTACTCAGTCTTCACGGTGGTGTCTAGCACTCTAATCTCCAAGGCATGGCTTGAATTGTCTGGATCGTCTTCCAAGGATATAGCGAAAGAGTGGAAAGAGCAAGGATTGACAATCCCAGGACACAGGAGCTCCCAGACCAAAAAGGAGCTCGACCGGTACATTCCAGTGGCAGCAGCGCTTGGAGGGTTTGGTATTGGTGTTGTTTCCGTGGCTGCAAATATGATGGGAGTGATTGGTTCTGGAACTGGACTCTTTCTAGCAATCACCACCATTTGTGAAATCCAAAAGAAGATACAAAAGGAGATGTAGTTTCAATGAGACAGATTCAAGGAAGTCTCATTCATTCATGAGGATTTCCTTGTAAAGTTTCTGTAATTTTCTGAAATTGTGCTAGAAAAAGAAATTCAATTTTTTTCGGTCAAACATTAGTCAACTCCTGCCACGTAGATGGTTTAATTCCAACGTGGCCATCCATGGGCCGTCGATTTCCAACCGACGCGCCTTTTTTCACCACATAAGCCCTAATCCCTCCACGTTCTCCCTTCCGGGGGAGCGAAGAAGACAATGGCTACGTTTCTCGAGGAGCCCAAGGCATCCACCTCGGGCGGCGGTGGCGGCGGCTCCAGGAAGAGCGAGTGTATGTGCGTGGTGTGCACTTGCGGCCTCCACAAATGCCCGTCGCGCGAGACGAATCACTACGACCCAAACATCCTGTCCGAGTATGGCGAGCGCTACCCGGAGTGGCCCATCTCCAAGCGCCTCCCACACAAGCCCCCACCGGCGCGCAAGGACGACGGCCCCTTCGACGACAACACCACCTACAAGCTCGACTATGGCAAGAAAACCATGCCCAAGCGAGCGCCCATGAGGCCTCCGGCGCGCGAGCAAGACACTGGGCCATTCGTGGACGCCACCACCTACAAGGTGGACTACTGGGACAAATCCAAGGAGCAAAAGCCCGCGAGGAGGGCCGAGAAGCCACACAAGGTGGAGTCGGGCCAGTTCTACGACGAGACCACGTATGGAGTGGGATACTGCCCAAAGCAGATGCCCAAGAGGTGTGCTCCCCAAAAGCATGGCTGCTCGCTCGGGAACTCCGGGGCCAAGTTCGTGGATGAGACTACGTATAATGTGGGCTTCCAGGACTGGAAGGTGAAGAGGCCTGTGAGAGGAGGGCCGACTCGCAGCGCGCCTCCTCCGCAGAAGTTCGATGGGGATACGACTTACAACATCGATTTCACGAGGCCTCCGCCGGTGAGGAGGTGCCCCGTGCTGCTGCGAGGGAAGCCGTCCAATCTCGTCGATAACCATCTTTGCTACGACTAGGAAAGCTTCTTCGGTTCTTCTCCTTCTTCTTTGTCTTCTCCATTTCTTCTCGATCTTCTACTTCTTTCTCCATCGTTCACAGCGGCTCGCAAGTCCTCCGAGGTATGTAAATATGTCGAAACTTTGATCGTTTTTTGACATAGTGAATATCTTGTTCTTCTTTCTGTTCTTCCTCGGGAAACTACTCACTCCTTAGTTTAGTTTCTTCTCGACGCCATCCGTTTTGTGGATTATATCCTTTTCAAGTAAAGCTCTCGATTATGCTAATGGTCTAAGAAAGAATTTGGAGTGTCTCTTCCCAGCACGGATCTAGGAGGACGGAAATGTGACGATGTGATCTTTAAGTTTCTTAACTTCACGCCAACTCTGTCATCTTCATGATCGCATAAGTCATTAACGGAGGAAAGGAAAAGAGCATCAGAAGCCCAACACTTCTAAAGCGTTTGCTCATCAACTGTCTAGGTAAAACAAAGAACTTATGTCTCTTTCTCACAGTCGAGAAAATTTCGTGGTTAAGACTGTCCTTGAACAAAAGATTGGGATGAGAGAGGCTCGAACTCTCGACCTCAGGATTTCTCAGTAGCTATGAGACCAACTGCGCCACCATCCCCTACAATTTAACAAATAACTTGTCCTGAAGAAGAGTTTTTCACCTGTATTTCCTATCAACGAATTACTGAGAATGAAAAGCGACCAAATGTTGCTAAATGACTGTTTACTTGCATTCTATCTTGTGATGCTTGTGAACGATCAGGATCCAAATTTTTGTATGAATTCCTCTATTCAACTTTTCTTTGGATCATTTTCAAATTACATGAGCGATAGCAATGGTTCGAATAAAATTTTAAGGCTAAAAATGTCCAAGGATCCAATAGAACCAGTTGTGTACTGGGGATTGACCAACAAGACTTGGGTGCCGTACAAAAGAGGAGCTGCTCGGTGAATAGTTGCCAAGTACTTTGAGGTACAGACTATTTTTCTTGACTTTTTGTTTCCTAGTTTCGTTTGCTTTTGTGTTTCGAGCTACAGTGGCTGAATTGTGGAAGGCCGACTACAATGCCATTGGCTTTATCTCGGTTATATCCACGGGGTTTGCACACTGTCAACTTTTCAGCTATGAAGTTGAAGAACACATGCACAAAGCGTGAATGGACCCTCAAGATCATCCTCAATATACCTGTCGACCTCGTGGATTGTCTGAGAAAACTGATCGATGTCAAATTTCTGGAGCAAGTCATTCAGAGAGCTCATCATGAGTCAAGCCTAGAATTCCAACCAAACCAATTCGACTCTCCTGCTGCTACAGAGACTTACAGAAGGTTTGTGAGAGCTCTCGAGCGCTACACCATCCTTGTCAATAGGGGCATCATAGGTACGTGTTTGAAGTTCTGCCACCTTTTTATTTTCAAAAGCTGAAACTTGGATCAGATGAGATGCGGCAAGCGGTGGAAGGCCACGGCCGTTTTCTCTGGGTTGGAAAGACTCCTATTGTGAGTGCAGCGTATTCCAAAGGCCAGGATGTCTGTGAGAAAACAATGGTGCTGTTTTTGGAGCTTAGAAATCACGGTGAATCCAGCTGGAGTACTGATGGCAGACGAGCTTTGCCACTTGACAAGGCCAATGTTTTACTGCCTGTGGCAAAAGTAGTCTTTACTAAAATCTTCTAGCATTTAATATCTTTAATTTTTAAAAGCTTTTTGATTGGAGAACAAGGCTTATGGAAAGGATGTAACTCTAAGAACCAATAGATTTGGTAACTTTTGTGTCATGCAAGAAAGCTGTATTGCTTTCTTTCTTTTGTTGTTATTTGTCATTATTGTTGTTTGCACATCTAGGTGCGGCATTTTTACTTTTCATTTTTATTACTTTTTAAAAATCTCAGCCTGAATTAATATCTTTGAAAAGTATTTTTCTCTATAGTTTTGGTACATGGCCTTAAATGGCATATGCTTTGTATATCTATAAATTTCCATTGGAAAAGCATGAGGATATTCTTAATCCAATGGCTAGGAGTGATCCATTAAATTGTAAATCTTCCTGACAAGAACATTCCTCATTGTGGAATACTTGGATTGCCATAGTCGATCACAATGGATTACATTCCAGTTCAGTCTTGCAATCCTTTAGTAGCAGTTCTACAATATTTTTCACTTCAGACTTCCTAATGGGAAATCTCCTATCAGAATCTTTCAGATGAATATATCCTAGTTATGTGGCATGATGTGGCAATTGAAATTTGCCACATCAAATGGTTGTTCCTCAATGAAATGGAATCTTCCATAATACAAGACAATGAATCATTTCCTTTTGCTATATTTTCCTAATAGGTCAAAATTTTCTCTTGACAAGATGGAAAATTCCCTTGGCAAGAGAAAAAACCCCAATGAAACCTCCTGTTGAGACATTTTCTATTGATGATATATTCTGTTAGGAAGATTTTTCTTCTAATGGAGCTCATGTTAGGAGATTTACTTCTTGATGGACAATTATATTCCCAACAAAAGAGGACTTCCCAATGAATCAAATTCAATTTTTTCTTTTCATTGGTAAAAATTCTTTTAATAGGTTAGGGATTTCTTATTGATGGGAGAAAGTTCCTAATAAGAATGAAAAGATCTTCCAAATAGGATGTGTTTCCTCCCAACATGCTAAATTTTATCAAAAAAAATAATTGGTCAGGTTTACTGATAGAAAGATAAACAATTAGAAATGAGCTTTTTGACAGGCTATTTGCAAATTAAAAGGATATTTGAGTATCATAAAACTCTAAAATTTTAAAAATAATATTGTTGGCTGTCTTTTTTTCTTGTGACTTCTAAGTTCTTGCAATTGATTTTAATTGCTTCTTGACTATTGTTTGAACCTTTTGGATTGCTAATATGTTATAAACCCATAAATAATGATTTTGTAAGTAACATGGGTTATATATTGCTCACATGTGGTGAGGAAGGGATATATTCTAAAGATTTACTCATGCTAGTTAAATATAAATGCACAAATTAGAGTGTGTCTTGCACTTGATCTCCACTAACTTGTTTAGCATTTGTTATTATAGGTTAATAAGTATCTTGATTGTGAAATTTATAATTGTACACCATATATGTTAAAAGGTTTTTTATCTTGAACATTTTCATTCTATATGGTAAGTGTAGTGGATAAGATATGCCAAAACTAAAGAAGTCATTAACAACTCTTTGAGATCCATAAATACTTACTCACAGTCCATAAACCAAATGAAAGACATTATTGACAGTTTTAACAATGTTTGCAATGGTGCAATATGATCAAAAAAATAATTAATAAAGATCATATGATAAAATTTAAATATATTGTCACTATAAATCTTTGAGACCTTAAAATTATTAAAAGCTTTCTAATCAAGCAATTATCCTTTTTTTTTAGTTGAAGGGGAGAGAGGCAAAGCACACTATAGTAAATGCAGGGAGTGGTCATAACTGTAAGTGTAGAAGCTAATCTCATCCAAGACTTCATACCAAAAGAAGCATATATCACTCAAAATTGTTATAATCTATGATTTTTGGAAAATTGTAAGTTGACATGCATGTAGCAGAAGTAGACACTCTTTAGATGCCTTGACAGTATTTATGAGGGTCATAATATGATCCTTTACTACAACCAACTCATCATCTAGGTTCTCTGCTCTCAACCTCTCATACACCACCTACTCCTAAAGGTTGTGATTTGTCTTGATGCACTAATAGAGTTGATAGTAGCATGTAAATTTGATGTCAAGGCACCAAATCCATTGCAAAGGTACTACACAAACTTTGGCTCAAGTCATCAACCATAAACATCGTGGAAAGATTTTTTAGTTCCAATTCATTTGTTCCTTATTGACCACATCCACAAATCACTTTGAGGCTATGGAGGTGCTTGCTGTATACCTACAATGCCAAAACAATGGCAGAGATAAAAGAATTTGAAAAGGATAAAAGTGAAAAATATATTCTCACTTGGATGTAGTGATAAGAAGCATTGATTTCAATTAAGTTTACTTTCACTTCCTCTTATCTAGATAAAAGAAGAGCCTTTGCATGATGGGTCTATATGTTTTTTAACTTTTCTATCACCAACTAAATCATAAACATCTTTTGCAGTGAACATGGTCCTTCTCATCATGCCCCAGTTTTTTTATAATGCATTGGTGAGAGCTAATTGTTAGATTGTCCTCCTGCCCTCATGAGCAATCTCAAGTGCACTTTGGATATGTTCTAATAAGGTAGCTGTAAGAACAACCACATGTTCATAGCTAACAAGGTGGTCATATAGCTGATTAAAGCAAAGAATATTCAATCCTTGTTTGTAGAAAGAATTTACAGATTGTGGCTTAGCCTCCTGCCTCAAAAGAGAAATAGAAAAGTTGTTATAGCCAAAAGCTTTGCCTCAAACACAAATCCTAGCATCCAAATAATAAAAAGAATACAAAAATGAGAACTAATTATGAATAAAAACAAAACACCACCTCCACCACCCCTTGTGCTTGTCCATGCCCTTGCGTTCGCATCTAACAATGACAAGAAACAAAGGAACACTTCAAGTTGTCTGATAGAAAACATGAAAACCCATTGGGAATTACAAAGGAAATATATGCCATTGGGAGCATCTGCCTCTCAGTATTAATCTACCCGTCAGGAAAACATTTTCCCAATAGGAGATTTACCTATTAGGTACATTCTCTCCCATCAGGAAACTTGCCATCTGAAAATCACTGTATCTGTTGGGGTATCACATTTCCATTGGAATTTCACCATATCTGTTGGGTATTCTGATGTGATACATAATTAATATTGATTTTTCATTCCTTTTCTATTACATGATGGTTATTAGCGTTAGCCATATAACAAAGTATATGCTCAAAGTATACTTTCCAAGTACACCATTCTTTTCTATTTTATCTTTTTGGATGGAGTGTGGAATGCCGACAACAATGTCATTAGTTTTATCTCGGTTACATCCATGGGGTTTGCACACCATCAACTTTTCAGCGATGAAGGTGAAAAATACATGCACAAAGCATGAATGGAGTCTCGAGATCATCCTGGTCGACCTCGTGAATTGTCTCAGCAAACTGATCAATGTCAGCTTTCTGGATCAAGTCATCAATCACGCTCATCCCACGACAACCATGGAATTCCACTCAAACCAATGTTTGCCACCTTTTTCCTTTACAAAGGCCTGATTACATGATTACTGAAACTTGGATCGAATGGTGGAGCAATGCAGCATCTTGGGTCTCAGATCTTTGGAGTTTGTGTTTCATGGAAGCCCGCTGCAAAAAATAAGCTCCATCCTTGAGAGCTTGAAGACACTGGCCATGGCCGTTTTTTGTGGGTTGGAAAAACTCCAGTTGTGAGTGCAGAGTATTGCAGGAGCCAGAGCTGTGAGAAACCAATGGTTCTTGGAACTCACAAATCATGGTAAATCCAACCGGACTGATGACAGACGAATTTTGCCGCTTGACAAGGCTGATGTTTTCCTGCCAGTCGCACAAGTATAAAGGCTAAGCCCATCTTTTAGAAAATAGAGGTTTCCAAGTTCTCAACTGATGAGATATCATATTTGCAATAATAAGCTTAATGGTTTGACTTAGAGGTAGTGAGAACGAAATAATGTCCATCATCACGAGGATTTAGGGTTTAAGCGGCATAAAAGGGCTAAACGTACTTTTTCTAAAAGAGGAAATTTAGGGTTCCATTCTTCCATGGCGCGATGAATGGAGGCCGGGGACTGGCGCTACCACGCCCCAACTCCCTCAAGGTATGGCGCGGGATTTTCCAATGCCGCTACTCCTCTCTCAGCTCGGATTCTCTTGGCGATGGATGGATTAGGGGCTGCCGCGAATTCCATCGAGAGCGCGTGGATTGGAGCTGAGCTCTTCCTTCCTTCGACGGGTAGGCTGAAGCTAGGTTTCTCGGGATTGTTTTGTGGTAATTGGCGTGCTTGGCAGGATTCTTTGTCGCTGCAAAGCGTCCAGCTCGCGAGATTGGCGAAATGCCGCGGCCTGTGCTGCTCAAGAGCAGCGATTGCGCTGGAATTGCCCAAGGAAATCGCGGTGACATCGCTGAGGATCACGCAGAGAGCGCTCACAAGGTTCTAGAAATTTTTCTTTGTGATGTTTTGGTTTAGCTTTTCTTCCAGTACGCTCGCGACGGTTGGAAAATTCCCTTGTCCAGTACAATGCGTGGCTGCTGCTGGGGTCATAGCATTTGCTCTTTGGGGACTCTTGCCTTCCATCCAACTCATTCGTCGCAATATCTTCCAGGTGGAAAGATAGAGTTCGTGAATTTTTGTTTCTTTCTAGCTGATATTGGAGTGTTTCAATCAGCGACGTGAATGGGACAAGAGTCGAACGAAGTACATACTTACGTCCTATGTCAAGCCTGTGTTATTGTGGGTTGCGATCATCGGAATATGCAGGTAGATATCTTGGTGTAACTTTTCTTTTTATGTTTTCTAGAACTTGAGATCTTGCAGGGCTCTAGACCCCGTTGTTCTTTCGTCCGAGACAAGCCAAGTTGTCAAGGAAAGATTCTTGAATTTTCTACGATCTCTTTCAACTGTCCTGACATTTGCGTTTTGCACAGCGAGGTATAAAGCTTATTTGCCTCGGATCATGGATTTCTTTCTTCTTCTTCTTTTTTTGGGTGTTTCAGGATGACTCAACAAATTCAAAGGGTCATGATGGATCGTCACAACAATGAAGACTCTCGCAATGTATGTACTGTATGCTACTTACTCTCTGTGTCATGAAAATCTGGTTAGTGATTGCAGCTTGGAATTCGTTTTATTGGCAGTGCAGTGTCCACTTCGGTGTGGGTGGCGGCTGTCTGCTTGTTTATGGAGCTCCTTGGTTTCTCGACTCAAAAATGGCTGACGGCCGGTGGATTCGGTACAGTGTTGCTGACTCTAGCAGGTCGAGAGGTTAGATTACGTTCTCCTTTCTGTTTTCTTCAAAACAAATGACAGGATTTTATGTTTTGTAGATTTTTACGAACTTTTTGTCCAGTGTTATGATCCATGCTACCCGGCCGTTTGTTGAGTACGAGTGGATACAAACTAAAATCGATGGGCAGGAAGTTTCTGGTACTGTCGAGGTTGGTTGATACGTAAATCGTGTGTTATAGCAAATGGTAATCTAATGCCTTTCGATGTTTTCAGCATGTTGGCTGGTGGTCTCCTACAGTTATCAGAGGCGAAGATCGCGAAGCTGTGCATATACCCAACCACAAGTTCACGATGAGCGTTGTCCGCAATTTAAGTCAAAAAACTCATTGGCGTGTTAAGACGTACATTGGTCTCAGTCATTTGGATGCTAGCAAGATCCACGTAAGAAAACACTTATTGATTTTCTTTCTCTAAACACTTGCTCTTCCTTTCAGGTTATCGTCGCAGACATGAGAAAAGTTCTTTCCAAGCATCCCCAAGTGGAGCACAGACGATTGCATCGAAGAGTGTTCTTTGACAACATCGACCCGTCAAACCAGTCGCTTATGGTAGGAAAACATCTTCATTTCTACTAATTCCTTTTTTTTTCTTTGAATGCAGATCATGATTTCTTGCTTCGTAAAAACTTCCCACTACGAAGATATCTCAGTGTGAAGGTTAGTATTTGTTCTGCCGCTACTTGCGTTCTTATGATTCTTCATGGCAGGAAATTATTCTTCTCAACCTGCTCAAAGTCATCAGCCATCACAATGCCCGACTTGCCACTCCCATTCGCTCTATCCAGAGGGTATACGACGAAGCAGAAACTCGCCAGTCGCCTTACAGAAACGTGTCAACGAAGATGGCAGGCCGTTGCTCCTCGTAGACGCATCCGCAGTACCAGCCGAGTCTGGGAAGGCGAAGCATGAGGCGCCAAACACTGTCGCTCCTATCGAAGTTCCGAAACAGGATATGGAAGAAGCACAGCCTTCTCCAAAGACACCTCTCGAAGGTTTGGATTCCATGGGACTTAATGCTAAAGACATGAGCTTGCTAGGTGCGGCTTTCGAAAAACCTCCAGCAAAGATCTCGGAAGTCTCGGCTGACAGTGGTGGCGAGCCAGCGACGATTAAGGCCGAGGACCAGAAAAGCAGCGAGACCGGCGAAAACACAAAGCAGCATTTAGGAAAGCAAGCGATCAAAGACAGCAGCAAGCCACCAAAGGCGTCGACATCGCCCAAGGAACCCCCAGCTTCGCCGAAACGAGAGATCAAGCTGGAGGCGAGCAACGAGAGCACAGGGAAAGCGAAAGAGTTGCAAGAGACAAAGTCAAGACCATCCGAGACAGCGAAAGATTTGAAAGTGAAGCAAAAGGAAGCTAGAGACAGGCAGCAGCACCAACAGGTGGACGATCCATGGAAAGAGACGGGGTCAGCAACAGCAACAGTAACAGGAACAGTTCCTTCTTCTTTTTCGAATCAAGCGAGCACAAGTAACAGCGAGGAACAACAGGCAAAGAAATATCCTCCAACAAAGAGCACAGTCCAGGGAAGTAACAACGAGGAACTACTGGCAAAGAAATCTCCTCCGACAACAAAGAGCACCGAGGAACTACTGGCAAAGAAATCTCCTCCAACAACAAAGAGCACAGGCCAGGGAAGTAACAACGAGGAACAACAGCTCAAGAAATCTCCTCCAGCAAACTTTGGAGAAGACAATCTAGTGCTGGGAGTAGCACTCGCTGGATCCAAACGCACGCTTTCACTGAGCGGCGATGGCGATGATAAGATCACGGGGGACTCGGACACAAGGGGCGCTATTACTGCTGCTGGATCGCCGAAAGACAAAGATCTTTAGAGCAGCAGTGAGATCCAAGGAGGAAGAACTCACAGGCATTAAATGGAGTTCTCCAAAGTTCTTGGAGGAAGAGATCAAGGAAGAAGAACTTCCACGCATTATAAATGGAGTTCCTGGAGGAAGATGGTGGCCACAGTGAGTAAACTACGCACACACAAAGATTTTTAGGATAAGTAGGTAAAAAAGGGGAAAAAACGAAGCCAGTAAACTTTTCCCTATCGAGAGGTTGCCCAAATGCGGCCATCTTCTTCTTCCTGGGCGGCGATGGCGGCGGCGATGGAGAGGCGGCGCGATAGGCCGTGGGCGATGGATCGGGCGAATTGGGTGTGAGTCCCCGGCACCGCTCGCAAATGGGTACGCTCCAAATCCAGCAATTCAATCCGCCCGGGGGTGGTAGTGCCGGCCAGGACGTTTTAGGGCGTTGATGGAAGAGCAAGAGCAAGAACAAGAGCACGCGACCAAGCATGGGCGATCATCTGAGATACAAGCTCCTCCATCGCGCGCAATCGCCCACTTCCAATCTGCCCAAGCCGCTCTTCCAGGGGATGGACGTGGTGGGATTGAAGAAGCGCGGGCAGGGCATCCGGTCGTGGATCCGGATCGACCGCGCGGGCAATTCCCAGGTGCTAGAGATGGACAAGTTCAGCATCATGAGGAGGTGTGAGCTTCCGGCTCGCGACTTGCGGCTGCTGGATCCACTCTTTGTCTATCCTTCCACGCTGCTGGGACGAGAGAAGGCCATCGTTGTCAACTTGGAGCAAATCCGGTGTATCATCACCGCGGACGAGGTGCTGCTCTTGAATTCGCTGGATCACTACGTGCTCCAGTACGTGAGCGAGCTCCAGCGGCGATTGATGCCGAGGATGACGAGCTCCTCGAGCAGTAGCAACATCGCCGGGAGATATGGTGGTGGTGGTGGGATTGGAGCGATTGGATTTGGAGGTGGTGGAGGTGGTGGAGGAGGGAGCTGGGAGTGTGGGACTGAGGATCATCCGGCCAAGCAGGAGATGAGGAGGGCGGCGCTGATGAGAGAGACGGACATGTTTAGCGGATCGTCGGCAGCGGACGATTTGCCGTTCGAGTTTCGAGCGCTCGAGGTGGCGCTGGAGTCGGCGTGCACGTATCTTGACACACAGGTAACCAAGTTCTAGTTCCTCGATTCTTGGAAGAAAACTTTGGAAGAACTTTCATGCTTTTCTTTTTTTCTTCTCTGAGATTTTTCAATATTTTTTTTTTCTCTTTTGGTGCCTTTTGCTTTTTCTGTGATACTACTACTGATTGCTTCTTTTTTCTCTTTTGTTCTTTCTCCTCTTTCCTGTGGCACGTTTTTTGCTACTCACCGGTGGTCTTTTTGCTCTTTTTGACAGGCTACAGAGCTTGAAGAGGAAGCGTATCCAGTTCTGGACGATCTAACCTCGAAGATCAGCACGCTCAACCTGGAGCGAGTTCGTAGGCTTAAGAGCAGGCTCGTGGCACTCACCAGGAGAGTCCAAAAGGTACTGCTTTTACTCCGTTTCCCCTTTGGAAGCTTTCTTTCCATTGAAACCACTAAGTCACACTCCTAGTTCTTTCATTTCTTTCCATTGAAACCACTAAGTCACACTCCTAGTTCTTTCATTTTCGTTCCAACTTCACTGGTGTTTCCTCCAGCTTCCCAAGCTCACAAACCTCATTGTTGATCTTTGCTTCTCTCTTCTCATTCTCTCCTATAAGTTTGCTGGAGTCACACCTTGTTCTTCGTTCCAACTTTACTCCATCTTCTTGAGCTTCCCGAGCTCACAAACCTCACTTGTTGATCTTTGCTTCTCTCTTCTCACACGAACTTTGGTTCTGTTCACACTCCTTGCTCTTTCATCTTCGTTCCAACTTCACTGGTGTTTGTTCGAGCCTCCCAAGCTCACAAACCTCATTGATACTTCATCTCACACGAACTTCCAGGTCCGGGACGAGATCGAGCACCTCATGGACGACGACGGTGACATGGCCGAGATGTATCTAACCGAGAAGAAGGAGCGAGCCGAGGGCTTCTTGTACTCAAACAACGTCTGTGCGTCGGTGTCGGCCCCTGTGTCTCCGGTTGGCAGCCCGCCGACCGAGAAGATCAAGAGCCTGGACAAGACGATGAGCCTGGGAAGAAACCTCTTGGTCCAGCCACCCGGCTCGGACAGTGAAACGGAGCGAGTGGAGGAGCTGGAGATGCTGCTCGAGGCCTACTTTGTTGTCATCGATGGCACGCTCAACAAGCTCACCTCGGTAAGGCGAAGGTTTCGAGTTTTTCGAGTGAAAAAAAGAAAGGCTCGTGGTGTTATCCGTGTTAATCTCGCTGGTTATACACAGCTCAAGGAGTACATTGACGACACCGAGGATTTCATCAACATCCAACTGGTACTTTCCGAGAAGTTGTCGATCCAAGGTTTTTCGGTTTTTGATCGATGGTCTTTGGTTTTGATCGTCCAGGACAATGTGAGGAACCAGCTGATCCAGTTCGAGTTGCTGCTCACGACCGCGACGTTCGTGGTGGCGATTTTTGGCGTGATTGCGGGTGTTTTCGGGATGAACATCCAGATTGACCTCTTTGACGAGCCGCGAGCTTTCAAGTGGATTCTCATCACGTCTGGCGTTGCTGGCATCGCGATCTTTCTCGCATTCGTATTATTCTTTAAGCAGCGGAGGCTGCTGTCACTGTAAAAAAAGTAAAGCCTCCGATTTGTGCAGCTGAGAGAAATAAGGAAACGAGAGAACTTGCAGATCCATACCGTATATATACACGAAAGAAAGAAAAACAAAGCCATCCACTTTGGCTCACTTTCGGACGATCAAAACCGGGCATTTCGCGTTGTGAGTACAATAGTCGCTCACACTGCCAAGAAAAGTCCTGTGTCGGTCGAGAAAGTAAAAGAGCTTTAGTGATCTTCGAGAAGAAAGTGAGAGCTCACCGTTTGATGGCTCCGTGACCGCGGCTTCCCATCACCAGCAAGTCGGCATGGATCTTTTCCACGGCGTCGCAGATACTGTCGCGAGGATCTCCAGTAGCCATCAGAAGCTCTGGGTGGTGGACCTGCGAGAAACGTGCATAAAAGACCATCTTAAACACAGAAGAGGAGCCCACATTGGCATCGCCGCAAATCCTCTTGGCTTTGTCGAGCAAGACCTTGCTTGAGTTCTCCTGGTGCTTCCTTGTGGCGGCCACCAAGTCGGGAGTGATGTAGAAGCCTACAGAACCAATGTCTTTGCGTTTCAAGCTAAAAGCCAAGGAAGAAAAGATCTACCAAAGCCAAAGCTCAAGGAATGAAAGCTAGTAGAAAAGCATAGACTGAATCCTCTAGCAGAAACCAACGAAGCTTTACCTGGTTTTAGAGCTGATGGAAGCACAGATCACAAAAAAAAACTCTATGGACTGAATCTTCTAGCAACAACCAACGAAGCTTTACCTGGTTTAAGAGCTGATGGACATGCGTGTGAAGCGCAGATCACAAAAACTCTATAGACTGGATCCTCTAACAAAAACCAACGAAGCTTTACCTGGTTTTAGAGCTGACGGAAATGCGTGTGAAGCGCAGATCACAAGGACCAAACTTTGGTGCCAAAGACAAAAGATCTAACACCCATAGCTCTAATCCCAACGAGAAAGACATCCACACTCAAGGAGCAAGGAGGAAACCATAGCAAAGAACTCAAACCATAGCTCGAAAGAGAAAAAGAAGAGGAGCAAGCCCCACATTCTCTATGGAAAAAGCTAGAACGAGAAGAAGATTAGTACCTGGGCCGCCGGGACCAACGTAGCTATGGGGCATGAACTGCGAGTGTAGCAGCACAAGCCCATCCCCGGGCTGGACGACAGTGTCGAGAGCATAGCGGAGAGCTCGGATGCTTTCTTGGCTCTCGTCGATGGCCACGATGACCTTCTTGGCCTTGCGATCGCCGCCCACATTGACGGCGCCGCTGGGATCCGCTGCCTCGTCGCTGGCGATGGCAGCGGCGGCGATCTTGACGCTCTTCTTCTTGACCGGCGGCGCCTCCGCCATCACCACCGCCTCGCTCACTTCCTCGTCGCTCATGGCGCAGATGTTTTGCCCTAGCCAAACACGTGGACTTCAACGGCTTACATTTGGCAGCATGGCATAGTGCCACGTGTTTTGTGAATATTCACTGGTATTCTTGGGCGTTGACTCTCTCTCTCTCTCTCTCTCTCTCTCTCTCTCTCTCATATCACAATGTTAATCAACTTCTGGCATACAAAAAAACGATGGACACACACAATGTCAATCAACTTTTGGCATACAAAAAAAAGATGGTGAAGTATCAGCTATCGTAGAGCGAGTTTATAACTAGTTTTGCAACTGGCAGTAAGACATGGCTCTTGTTAAGTGGTACACTTCGTCTGCCATCCCAGGTCCAGTCGCTCTCGCCATGATTTTTGAGCTCCAAAAACAGCACCATTGTACGTGGGTCGCAACCACAGTAACTCCAGCTCACCCGTGGAGTCTTTCCAACCCACAGAAAGGGTCCAAAGCCACTGTCCTTGGCTTTCTTGGGATCAAGACCCCGTTTAAGGATGGAGCTTATGTTTTTCTGCCAGCTTCCATGAAACACAAACTCCAACGATTTGAGGCTTGAGATGTTGCACTTGTTCACCGCTTGCCGCATCTCATCTGCATTACCCACCAAAGAAACTTAGCACAAAGGTTGGCAGGAAGAGCGTGAAAAGCTGGCAGACTTGTAGAGTTTACGTACCCAAGATGCTCTTGTCGTGGAGGGTGGCGTAGCATTGGAGAGCTCTCACGAACTTCTTGTAGATCTTTGTAGCCGGGGATAATTTGTTTGGATGGATTTGCGAAAAAGTAATCCCGGAATGATAAGGGAGGACAGTCGACTCCAAAAACTTGGCATCCATCAGTTTGATGAGCTCGTCCTCTACGGGCGCGAGGATTATCTTGACGCTTCTATCGTATCTTCCGAGTCTACTCTTCAGCTTCATTGTCCCGAAATTGATACTGTGCCAACCTCGTTCACCCAAATCCAATGGCATTGTGGATTGCAGTGCGCTATTCAACCACTATAAAATATGAATTGGAAAAAGAAAAGCAATCTTTGAAGAAGGAACAGTACCTCAAAATATTTGACAAGGATCTTTAGAGCAACGTCTTGCTTGTATGGCTTCCAGGCCTTGTTTTTGACTCGCCAGTAAACTCCCGGCTCCATCGGCATGGCCATTTTTGGATAGACAAAACCTAATTAGTTGTAATATTTAATCTGGAATGCACAAACTGGCGTCTGTTTCTCTAGACAGATAAGTTTTTAGCGGCAAACGAGCAATGGAAGCTTCAGCTGAATTCACAGTGTATGGAAGATCCAAGTTTAATTTGCTGGATATTTTCTTCTTAAGACACTGTTAAGATCTGCAGGTTCTATTAGAACTTCTCCACTTGGCTTTGCTGGGATCAAGGTCTTGTTTAAGAATCGAGTTCCCGTGAAACACAAACTCAGCGCGCTGAGACTCGAAATGCTACCCGTTGCTGTCTCTTCTCTTTAAGAAAATCCATCACAAAGTTGGCAGAGTTTAAAGTAAACAGCATATACCCAAACCTCGCTGAATGAATTTTGCATAGATTTCATGAGTTCAAGCTGTTTGGCAGGATTTTCTTGATGATGTGCTTAGAATAGTTTGCCTTACAGAAACGTGTAAGATGGCAGATCGTGGAGGCCTTGGCAGAGGGAAGAGTTAGGCATGCTCGAGCTTGTGTTTCAAGGGAGCGGGATTGAGAACATCTACCTTGAGCCAAGTGGTAATGGGTGAGCTCTGGATACAAGTGAAGTTTACAGAGGGTTTGGAAGAACTTAGTAATTAGTAACTAAAAAATGTTACTAATGTTTTATATGTTAAAATTATATTTTAATTTTTTCTAAAACCGCTTGGCTTGTTTAATCTGATTTATTAATCCAATTAATCAAATGGAAGTATATAATTATAAACATGTTTATAATTTATAAACATTTATTGAATATCAACCATTAGATAGTAGAATAACTAGAATATACTAGGAAGTGTTTAGGAAAGTTTGTTTATAATTTATAAATACAAGATTAATCTAGATTAATAACAACTGTTAGATGGTAGAATATTCTCGAATATTCAAGCATATTCTAGGTATATTCATTATCATCCACATGTTTATTTGCTTAAGCAAATTAAAAACTTACTCTAAACATTATTACTATAAACTTCTCATAAATGACTTACTTATCAAATGCTTTCCCAGATATACCAGATATATAGTATTTAGAGAATCATAAATTTTGCTAAAAAAAATTTCCTCTATTTTAAAAGAAAAATATTTTTAATATAATTATCTTGTAACTATAATTTGCTAATGTTTTCTAAATTTAATTATTTTATTTTATTTTATTAACTTTTATTATAATTTTATTAATATATTAAGTTTTATAAGTGCATGGAATACAGAAATATGCATATTAATTAACCTAAAAACTCTAACTTATATGCAAGAGCAATTAGTCCTGATTAAAACCAATCTGACAGCTATCAAAATCCCACTACACTAATATTAATATATAGCATCATAGCCATACACTTGGACATCACATCATCCCCTCCTTTTAGAATGATGGAAAATAATTAAGATTCTTTAGTGGATAGGCTGAGATCTAGAGGAACAAACATCAGTGGATCTATAAGTGATATTAATTTTTCCTAATCCCTTTGTATGAAGCATTTCAACTATTGCATATGTATAATTAATGTAGTGCACCTTATTTCTTTCCGGGGAGAAAAACTAACTGAAAAAAGGGCAATTGCTTAATGAGAGAGCCCTTAGTGGCTATTTTATCCCCATTTATCTCCCAAGGTTCCAAAGATTCACGGTGACAATATATCCAAATTTCATCCCATGATCACATGCGCTACAGTTTCTAAAGGATCAGCCTATTGGACATTATGCCAAACCTCATAAACTTGTGGTTTAATTTGCCACAATACACGATATAGTCTTTTATAATGAGCAAAGAGCCCTTTAAACAAACCATGTGCCGTAAGATTAAGAAAATAGATTAACACCAAGTCATCCACTTTGTACTCTATAAGTGAACAATAATGAGAGTTGTAGCATCATTGTTATCCCACTTGTGTCGCGCATGTGACTTCGGGTATCGAAAGTTACCTGTCGGCTAGTCCTTACGGACACTCTTACCTTACTGTCACGATGGCAGGAGGTCGGTATTGCTGGACCCGTTATTAGTCTCCGCCTAAGCTAGTTGAGAAACTGGTCCTCGCGTGTGCACTTGACCAGATGGGCATAAGGACGGAATTCCTAAGTGCTATTAGTCAAGCATACTTGACCTGGTTAGAGAAACTCATTCGTTGACTTGCACTTGCTAGTGTTGGGAACCCCCGCGATATTGAGCTTGGTCCCTCAACATCGCTAGATGATAGCTTACCGTGTCTGCCAAACACCCTCGCTATCATGCCCTTTGTGTTAGTCTCAATTTGTCCCAGATGCTATTTATGGAAAGTGTCCAGATTTGCTCATTTGGCATATCTATGGAATGTAGAGATCGGCCTGAACACAATGGTGTTTGTCCCGTGTCCAAATTCGCAATCTAAGGACATTCCATATTTAGTAAGTTTCGAGTTTGTCCCAGAGACTAACTCCTGATACTAAGGGAGGCTTGGGGTGAAAGCCCAAAGCGTGTGTTCCTCAAGGGGGGGGGGCTATGGGGGGTTCCAAATGTATAGTAGGGATAGTGGGTAGGTCGGGCATGGCCGACCAACCTGAGGCATAGTCTAGCTCCCGCTTGCGTGCCTGTCCTTGTTCTGCGTCCGGCTTGGGTCTAAGCCCAAGTTCCATTCCATGCTAGCTGGTGGAGTACCCATATTCTCACGTTAGGCCACCGGTATGCCGAAATAGCGCCAGACTCCGTTTGGCTCCGTTTTGCGTGCTGGTCCTGGCATTGGGATGCTGGTTGCTCTAGGACTGTTCCAAGTCGCTCCGGGCCCCTGTCCCTCGCTCCTTGGGCTATATGCTCGGGAGTTGCTCCGTGGTCCGGTTTCATCACTCCTTGGCGTCACGCTTGGGAGTTTGGCACCGTTCCTTCGTTCAGTGGCCCAAGGCCCTGAACCTCGGGTTCCTATGGACACGTGGCATGGACACGTGGTATGTGACACGTGGCATCTGTCACGTGGCACAAAGAGGGTTTAGGTTCCGCTTCGTGGTGTTATCCTATGGTAAATCACCATAGGATAAAGGGTCAAAACCACGTGCGCTACATTTGGTATCAGAGAATGAGTCTCAGCGAATACTATTCAATGAGATTGGGCAACTAGTCTCGTTGCATACGCAGAGATGAAAACGATGATCCGAGTGGGTACACGTTTGGGTGCAAAGACTTCGCAATCGTTCCTTGGGTATGGTTTTGGTTACCTTTTTGTTCCATATTATGTGAGCTTGCTCTTGGGCTCATAGGTGGACTGAGTTGTTCCGTTACACGAGTTTGCGCTTGGGCTCGTGAGTGAGGCACATTAGCAACTCTAGGTTACACTTTGAGTTGGCAGGATTAATGTTAGCCTATTGTTGGTTCCATGAGTTGTTTCATGTACCGTGGGTGAAAGTAAACTTTCCTTGGGTTTGCTATGAGTGGCAAATAGGCTGGTCCGTAGCTGTTTAGCACGGCACTAGTGGATCCTTCCTAGGCAAGACTACAAGTGGATCAATTAAGACTGTAGGGATTAGTCTATTGGTTCAAGTAATCATTGCCGTGCTCTCTCATAAGCTTTTCTTGGACTGGACTAAAGGCAGTGCGAAAGCAAGCTTGAGGTTTAGTCAAAGATGAGACCCGAAAGAGACTTATCGGGGACGGAGGATCAAATACGTAAATCATTTTCTCTTCTAGGAGAGATGATTTGCAATGAGGTGTTAACTCATTGCTTGTGTTCACATTATGCAATCAAGAGTCCCTACCTTGATGCATGTTGGAAATGATGGTCTTACAATGGTGAGTTATGGGATGGATAGCAGTGAAGCGCTAATCCATTTTGTCTAGGC